TCATCATTAAGTCATAATAAATTAACGTTCACTTTACACATTAATACATCATTATTCATTTACTGTCATTGTAATGTGTTACCAAGAATTTTAAACAGGTTTTAATTTTTCTTTGTTCATGTATAGCTATCCAATCCATCCAATCACTAACCTTCCATCTCAATAAAAGTTTTAACAAATGTTTATTTATTATCTCGATTAATCAGTATGGTTTAATTATCTTCCTATAATAACATATTTTTATTGTGTTTTTTAAATATTTTAACTGAGCCATTAGAAAAATTCCTTAGCATTTAGCCTTGTGTAAGTCAAAAATATTATTTGCAATGGTCTTAAAAAGATCTTAAAAAGTCTTAAATTTGACTTGATGAAACCTGTAAACCCTGTTTACTGCATTTAAAATATATCTTAATATCAAACAACACATTGCAGTTAAAATTATGATCAAGTAATTTGCATATGTTTACTAAGTTAGAGTGTAGCATGACAGAACATTTTTAAAGCAAATTTGTAAAGCAAAGTAAAACTTTTGTTTCTAATATTAAACAAAAACTGTTGTGAAAGTGTCTTTAAGTTCACTTGTGGGTATTTATTTGAGGAGTATTATATTTTCTGTACACTTTTCAGATTCAGAAATACACTACAAACAAAATCAAGCACTATTTTTTTACCCAGGTTAAATTAAATGGCTGATATATATAAGTCTATCAGTAAAAAAGAGCATGACTTCTCTTCAGAAGGAACATTATGATCCTCTTGAAAGCTATTCAGGGGAAAAAGTACTGTAAATTAATTCATTTATTGATTCATTCATTCATTTTCTTGACGGCTTAGTCCCTTTATTAATCTGGGGTCGCCACAGCTGAATGAACAACCAACTTATCCAGCACGTTTTTACACAGCTGATGCCCTTCCAGCCGCAACCCATCTCTGGGAAACATCCACACACACTTTCACACACACACACAAACTTATACACTACGGACAATTTAGCCTACCCAATTCACCTGTACTGCATGTCTTTGGAGGAGAAACCCAGGAGGAAACCCACGTGAATGCAGGGAGAACATGCAAACTCCACACAGAAATGCCAACTGAGCCGAGGCTCAAACCAGCGACCCAGCAACCTTCTTACTGTGAGGCGACAGCACTACCTACTGCGCCACTGCATCGACGCCTGTAAATGAATTGCAACTCCAAAGATAACTTCATTCTCATGGGTGCCATGATCTTATGCTATGCAGATATGAACAGAAACAAAAACATGCAAACTTAACATAGGCTTCTGTAGATTTGAATTATACAGAATGATTCAAAAGACACAACTCAGTAATTGCAGACAAACGATCAGTGGTGGAAAGAGTACTGAAAAATCATACTCAAGTAAAAGTACCATTACTTGCCTAGAAATGTTGTGTAAGTAGAGTAAAAGTACCTGTTGTAAATATTACTCAAGTAAAAAGTAGAGCTTTCAAAAGTACTCAAGAATAGTGAATATTACTCTTTTAAAAGCTGATGCGTTCACATGTAATTTGTGCAATGTGTGTATAAACGTAACATTTTGTAGTGCATCGAGTTATTGGCAAGCAGGCACACAACATTATAAGACATTAACATTAGGTAAAATTGTCTAGCCAGTTTCTAAAGACAACGTTATTTGTTCACTAACAACATCAAATGAAGTTGATATTTGGTTGACTTTAGGTTGTGCTGGAAAGTGACCAAAATTCAATGTCGAGCAAACATCCAACGTCATTTTGGCATCACATGCTGACACTTCCATGATTTTCATGGAAAAACAAAATGCAACATTCCCATGACACTGGGGTAACACTTCATTCTGACATCATGTTGACATCTTGTGCCTGCTGGATGTTTAAGGCCATTTCGATCATCATACAGTAAACATCTGTCAGCTTCTCATCAGTGACATGCATTGACCCAGAGACTTTTAAGATGCATGTAAAGAACAGTTTGCTGCAATTATAAAGCGCACATGTTTTTAGGTAGGGTTAGGTATTGCTTGAGGTTATTTCAATACTGGTGCTAAATCGATACTTTTAAAACGGTACCTGTGCCAAAACGGTGCCTGAACCATTACCTTTGAGCCACAAAATTATTCGACAAAAAAAAATTAAGAAAAAAAAATAAAATAAAATTATCATTATAATTAAGCAATATAATTAAATATTTATAATAAGTTTAAAGTAGACATAAATTCATATATTATATATTTGAATTGCATTAATATATTTCTTTTGATACACCTTCTATCTGAGTTTTGATTGGACAGGAACCACAGGACTGATTTTTCTAATCCCCATAGACAAGAAAAATAAAGTAGTGACTGAAGATTGAAGAAAAGTAGGGGAGTAAAAGTACTGATTACTTCACTAAAAATGTACTCAAAGGAAAGTAAAAGTATACACATTTTTAAAACTACTTATTAAATTTCAATTCCTGAGAAAAACTACTCAATTAAAGTAACTTGAGTATTTGTAATTAGTTACTTTACACCACTGCACACGATTAACTGACATTCCCCAGCAACATTGCTGGATATTAATTATTTTAATCCTTCCTTTAAACACTCAAATGTGGTGTTTTTCTAGGCTTCCAATTAGGAAAAATGATTTCAACTGAGATGTTACATCTTTGATCATGATTAAATGATTATTCATTGCACTGAATGTCATTCAATCATATTGTAAATAATAAGAGCTAGCAACTGTGAATATAACTTTAAAGCTGAAAACAATAAATCAAGATACTGATTTCAGAATGACTGATTAATACTGAATGCTCAAACATCTGCAAAAGTATTATGGTTTAATATTGTTCTGAGAACACGAACAAATGTGTTTGTTGTCCATAAGGGGGCAGAGCTTACCACAGTTTTGTAAAAAAAAAATACACAAACAAAAAACATGTATTTTCCATTCAATCAATCTATCTATCTGTCTATCTATCTATCTATCTATCTATCTATCTATCTATCTATCTATCTATCTATCTATCTATCTATCTATCTATCTATCTATCAAAACAGTAAACTAATAAAACAGCCAATATCTCTCTAAAACATCGAAGGGCTCTCTGTACAAAATACTGCTTTGTGCAAATATTTATTGGAAATAATTTTTGCATTCTGGAAATGCATCAAATCATTCGACCTATCTGACATAACGTACTATGTTCTTTGCTACAATCACTATTGATAAAGGTCATCCAGGAAACAGAAATTCACTGATCCTAATGGGTACGTCTGAAGGGGTTCTAAATTGCATTTGGGTATATGTTGCACTTTATCATATCTGAAGAGAGCATTAACCACTTGATCTTTCAGAAATGAAGCGCAAAATACGGTGCGGAGGAAGCGCTCGACCGTCACGAGTCCTTTTACGCACGAGTGTGCAGTCTGCGATTAAAGTTTCAAGCGTTTTAAAAAGCTTTCTGTTGCTTTTATAGTTTGTTTGGCTTTTAATTGTTGTTTTTTGTTGTTAAATGCAGTCGGCAACTTAGTGATAAAATGCTTTGCAGCGTTTTTTTTACGCACAATAACAGCAAAAAGCTTTTTTCATTTTCCGTACCTAATGTTTTCAAATATATCCTGTTTGCAAGTTTCCTAATAATAAACAGTGCTCTTTATTGTGCAGACACCATTAATCAAAATCATTACCTTTATCCATTTTGGATACAAGTTGATTGTGCGGCTGACCTCTCCAAAAGGTTTGATTAGAATTGCATCCACTACACGCCTGTATTTGTTTTATGCTTGACAATAGAGTGTTAGGATAGGTCAGGCTTTTAAGTGGGAGGGAAGAGTTCGCCTCATGACGCCCGTCCTGACATCACTTATACTGGGGTACTGAGGAGAACCGTTGCGTAGATATGAAGCGAGAGCGGCTCGCTCGAGCCGCACCGATACTTAAAACTGTCACTGAGGTAATGCGCGCGGCATGTAGGAGGCATCCAACCTGCTGAATGAGATACTGCTGAAACAGGAGAAACACGAAGAGAGACGGAAGACAAACTGTTTTCACTTATACTTCTTTTTATTACTTGGACATACCCGACTATTTTGGAGTGCCTCTGATCCTTAAGCCGACTTTCTCCACTCAGGAATGTAACAACGACACAACTACACCAGACTCCATCATTTATCAGGGTAGTTGTTGCACTTCAATTCTTTCTGCAAACTTGTGAAAACTGTGAGGGGAAACTGGCACATCGCCGCGCGCTGCTGCGCTCTCTCTGGAGATTTATATTTAAAGCCTCGCGCTCCGTGGAGGGTTGAGCATCTGGGTAACCTAGATTTAAGCATTCCAATATATTTGTTTTGTAATTACTTGTCAACAATTTAAGAAGATTTTGAATTCGCAAATTGAATGTTCCAATTTTGTAATGTTCTAACTGAAGAATTATTATCGAAATCATTTAATAGAAGCACAATATTGCGCATGATTTTCATATTGGCATTTAATCAATCGGTCACTTCGGATTTGATCACTCATATTTCTGCAGTAGTCTTTTGTTTCGGCTTTCCCCCCTCTCACATTTCAATTTTCAACCTGTCTTATGTAACAACATTCTTAAGTTGATGATATAACGGCAGACAAGCAAAAATACTTAATAAGAATCATAAATTAAAATGTATTTCAATTAATTGGATGTTTATTACATTTTATTAGTTGCATGTTACTCAGATGTGGCTTATTTCAATCTTTTGAGATGCAAAATAATAAATTCACAACACTCGACGAGATGTGACATACGATGACTGACAGAATCTATAGTGCAGTTAACAATGTATTCATTTGTTTATACGTAGGGGGGTTTGTACATAAAGGTTTTATTTAATGTAATATTTAATAAAATATTGAACACTTAGTTTTTAGAACATAAAATAAACACCAAAACCATATTATTTAACTTATTCTACCCACATACGGATTGCCATAGAGAAGAACTGCCCACGTGCACTTTCTGCATTTGCAGTCATGGATAGCCCGTGCCCTGTTGCCGTGGGTCTGCCTGGCCACACTAATGGCACTGGAGGCACGTCTTCACCGACTTGTAACCAGAGCATGATAAAACTCGCCCCGTACTCTCCTGAAGCCACAGCAGCCTTTGCAACAGCCATCACATTGATGATGCTTATTACAATAGTAGGCAATATCCTGGTCATCATTGCTGTTTTAACAAGTCGCTCATTAAGAGGACCCCAAAATCTTTTTTTGGTCTCCCTTGCTGCTGCAGACATTTTGGTGGCCACCCTCATCATCCCCTTTTCCCTAGCCAATGAACTGATGGGCTACTGGTATTTCCGCTCTGTATGGTGTGAGATCTACCTGGCGCTGGATGTGTTGTTCTGCACTTCCTCCATAGTACATCTGTGCGCCATCAGTCTAGACCGCTACATGTCTATCTCACGTGCTGTCACGTACGGTCCCAAGCGGACACCGAAACGAATCAAGTGTGCCATTTTGGTGGTGTGGTTGATCTCAGCGGTAATCTCATTTCCGCCACTACTATCTATGAACAAGAATAAAGGTGGTGGCGAGTCAGGTGCGCTGCCTCAGTGTCAGCTCAACGATGAGCGCTGGTACATCCTGTACTCTACTATTGGTTCCTTCTTTGCTCCTTGTCTAATAATGATCTTAGTCTACATGCGGATCTATCAGATCGCCAAGCAGCGCACACGGTGTCCACCAGGGGAGCCCCGCAAAGAAGCCCCAGCTAATGCTACGACTCCTCAGCACAAGATCCAAAATGGAAGAGGAGATGAAACGCCAGGCACCCTTCAGAAAAAAGCCAGGCCTCCAACTTTGGCTGTGTCCCAAGTGGAGTCTGTCCAGCAGGCAGCAAACACCCCGATCGCCAACAACCTTCTGCAAGCCCCTTCAACAACCTTGACACCAACCACCCCATGCCCCTCGCCATCTCCTTCGAATTCATCTGAAGTGGCTCCCAGTAAAAGTAAAGAGGGGAAAAAGGAGAAGAAGAAGAAGAACAACAAAAACAAGAACAAGAAAGAGCCTGACAACAATAATGGAGAAAGCATGAGCTCTGATTCGGACACTGAGCAAGGTGGGAGGGGGTTAGAGGTCCCTTGCACCCCGACTATGACCCCCAGTGGCATTCATTCTCCTGCCACTATGCAGAAATACAGAGACATGATCGCCACCGCTAAAGGTGCCAAGCTGGTGGCCCGAAAGGCCAAGCAAGATGGAACGCCCAACTCTGCACGCCGCAAAGCGATGGTGAACCGAGAGAAACGATTCACCTTTGTGTTGGCGGTAGTGATTGGTGTCTTTGTCATTTGCTGGTTTCCCTTCTTCTTCTCATACAGCCTACAGGCTGTGTGCCCAGAGTCGTGCGCCCTGCCAGAGCCACTCTTCAAGTTCTTCTTCTGGATCGGCTACTGCAACAGCTGCCTCAACCCGGTCATCTACACCATCTTCAACAAAGACTTCCGCAGAGCCTTCAAAAAGATCCTCTGCAAGAACACCAAAGGCACATTCTTCTGAAGCTCCTGAGGTGCATCGTCTCCTCAGATTTAAAACAAAAAAAAACACTTACATCTATTCAGAACACGAGTGTCAGAAAGAACACTAAAATAAGCACAATAATGGCGTTGTTGTGATGTAAATGAAGGGCTTTTTGTGCTGCCGGGTGAACCGAGGAGACCACGCGACTCAAATGACTCTATTCTGTCCAGGTTATCACCTCAGGCTTCAGACTCAAGGACTTGTGCTATAAATGGGGCTAATCCAAAAATATTCACGGACATTGACAAATCAAGGCTGAACACAAAAGAACTTACGAGGACTATGGCACACCTGCAAGGACAAGCCACAGGATTTGGAGCTCAATACAAAGGTTGCTGCATTTTTTTTCCTCTCTTGTTTTTTTTTTTTTTGTGTTATTTCTCGACTTTCTAAGAGCCTTGAGGATTTCTCTAAGGATTTCAGAGGTACTCCATATTCAGAATATTTACTAACTGATTTTTCATGCTGATTGGTCTACTTGATGCCTACACAGCACTATTACTGAGGAACAAAGCTGAAAGACACAAATTACTCTTTATGGAAATCCTTGCCATGGGCAATGTGTATGAAACGAGCTGACGCAAGTTTCTCCGATCGAACATTAAGGCTTTTAGTTACAGATTCCCCTCTAGTGCAGGACCATAGGGGAGGTTGTTGCCATGCTCTGATGCAGAAAGGCTTTGTGAATACAGAATACTTGTCATGGATTGAACTGATTGCTAATAGACTTTTGAATTGATATATGATATGATATGTTCGGTATGTATTAGTACACATGCTCTTTTTAAAAAAAAAATAATGATGATGATGACTCTTTGCGTTATCAAAAAAAAAGACTTTTAGACTTCAGTGGCTGTGTCAGATGACACAAACACCTCCTGATTTCCCCGGAGGTGCTCTTTCTGACTCTGTCTTTGTATAAAAGAACAAATGATAATTATTTGTTGGTGTACACTGATCTACTGCACCCTAAATGTGTGAACATTCAGCAGGGTGATACTTTGGGACTAAGGGCTGATAGCAGTGATGCTTTCCATTTCTTTGATCATTGTCTTTTTGCTGATGATCCCCGTGAGTGTGTGCGCACGCACAGAGCAAATATTGTGAATGGGTATGTGTTGCGTCCGACTGCTGTGTATGTCTGGAGATGTATGCTGTGTGTGAGAGGGTGTGCGAATGTTGTTGTGTGGATGTTTCTTTGCTTAAGGTGTGCGTGTTCACATCCCTCCCCGATTCCACTGGCACTAGTTCAACTATATATGTATGTGCTTGATTAATGTGGCTGGTTTGCCATATCTGCCAGTGCTTATGATAATTTCCCGTGCCAATGCTTTTACATGTTTTGCTGCTATAAGTTCATTTAGTATCTTTTATTTTGTTTTTTAAACCAGGGTTTTACTTCAAAAGAATCTCTTGCAGTTCATTTCGAGGCAATTTGGAAATGAGGCATCTTAAGCTGAGAACTGTAAATTATTACGTGAATGATTTTTGTATTTATTTATCTTGCTATTTGCTGTTCCCCTGTCATATACAGTGCTCAGCATCATTTTGAAAATATTTTTTTTTCTCCATTTCTCAGTGAATATAGGCAATGTATTTTGGTGCATTTAAACAAAGACAATTTATTAAACAGATATATTTATTAAAATAATATTTTAGTCACCAAACATATTTAGAAATTGAAAGATAATACAAACAAATTCAAGCAAAATATTGCAAAAAAATTTTTACAAACCCCAAAATTTCAACTTAATCTTTATTATTATTATTATTATTATTATTATTATTATTATTATTATTATTAATATTATTATTTGTTTCTCTTGATTTTTCCTGTTTTTTAAATTTGTATTTAATATTTTTCAATAAAATATAAATTTGGCTGTACTAGTTTTTGGACCGTTATTGTAAGTTATTTTGTTAGATAAGTTCCAGATTTGGCTTCAGTACTGACTAATCTAATGTATTTGCTCAAATATAACATTGAATAGCTTCCTATTTAAAATATGAATTTACAAGAGAGATTTGTGAGTTGTGTACTTATAAATGCTGAGCACTGTGTATATCTATTTTTCCAACTTCCTTTATTTTTATTTCCCAAGGGGAAACAGACATGAGGAGTTCAGCTTTAGCTACAGCACAATTAAAAAAAACCTTCTACTGTACATTATTTGTGACTTTTATTTTTATATATGTGGCAGGACATATTGCATACGGGCTGCGTTTTAAAAAGCTTTGCAATTGACCGGATCCTAGTAACTGTATGCCTTTTTGCCTCCTGGACTCTTCTTTTAGTGTAATGCTGTTGGTTTTTCACTGCTCTTTAAAAATAAAACCGCTGAGCTGTGTGTGCCAACTGACTCATTGCTGTTAGAGAATAAATATGGCGCTTTCAGTACAGATGAACAGATTTCTATCTTGACAGACGTCATTGACAATTTCGAAATGGGAAAAAGGCTTTATGAAAACCAGTCATCGCAAATTTCCTTCTCCAAAAAGCAGCACTTTCTTGTTTCAATGAATTGAGCCATCTGCAAACATGTTGAATGAACACTTTTTTTTCGGTGACACTTCATTTTGATGGTCTATTTGAGTATTAGTAGACTGTCTGCTTATTATCTGCATACTGCTATTTCAACAGACATTTAACTGACTATAAGAAACTTTGCAAGTACTTGTCAACTTACACTAAATTATTACGTGAATGATTTTGTATTAATTTATCTTGCTATTTGCTGTTCCCCTGTTATATACAGTGCTCAGGATCATTTTGACATTAATATTTTTTATCTATTTTTTAGTGAATACAAGCAATGTATTTTGGTGCATTTAAACAAAACAGATTTATTAAACAGAAATATTTATTAAAATAATATTTTGGTCACCAAACATATTCATAAATAGAAGACACTGAAAGATAATACAATTAAATTCAAGCAAAATATTGCCAAAAAATACAACCTACGATTTAATTCAGAAAAAATGACAACCTACGATTTAATTTATTAAACAGATGTATTTATTAAAATAATATTTTAGTCACCAAACATATTTAGAATTTGAAGAAATTGAAAGCTAATACAATTAAATTCAACTAAAATATTGCAAAAAAAAGACTACTTACGATTATTTTTTTCTTTTTTTGCTTCTCTTGATTTTTCCTCTTTTTAAAATGTGTATTTAATATTTAAAAAAAAACATATACATTTGAGTGTTTAGTTTTTGAATGGTTTTCATATGTTATTTTGTTAGATAATAACACGCTGAGCTGTGTGTGCCAACTGCCTGATTGCTGTTAGAGAATAAATATGGCGCTTTCAGTACAGATGAACAGATTTCTATCTTGACAGACGTCATTGACAATTTTGAAAGGGGAAAAAGGCTTTATGAAAACCAGTCATCGCAAATTTCCTTCTCCAAAAAGCAGCACTTTCTTGTTTTAATGAATCGAGCCATCTGCAAACATGTTGAATGAACACTTTTTTTTCGGTGACACTTTATTTTGATGGTCCGTTTTAGTATTAGTAGACTGTCTGCGTATTATCTGCATACTGCTACTTCAACAGACATTTAACTGACTATAAGAAACTTTGCAAGTACATGTCAACTCACACTAACCTTAAACCTAATCTAACACTTACAGTACAATCTAATGAGAATTAGTTGACATTTAGACACAATGTAACTTAAATTCAATAAAGAACCATCAAAATAAATTCTGACCTTTTTTTTTAATTCAGGTGTATGATTTTTACGGATTATACAAGAATATACCACACAGAGAGAGGAAATTTGTATTCAGAAGAGCCAAAGCAGATGTTTTGGTGAATTAGACGATGAGATTAATTGGCGCTTTGGCAGATGCACGCTGATATGGTTGGATAAACTCTAAGTCTCCCTTAAGGTCAATTTGACATCCTTTAAATCCTTTTCAAAAAATTAATATTCACAGACATGATTGCATTAGGATTGGTGATGTTTCTGAACACAACAAAGTCATGGAATTGAAGGATTAATACTGGGTCGACTTTAATACTTAAAATGCAGGTTCAGCTTCTTTGGTGTTAATTGCCTTTTTTTTTTATCAAGAAAGCACTTTAAAAACGTTGGAATGGAAATAAAAAAGTCTTAATATTATGTGTTTTTTACGAGATAAGAGGCAGACTGCAGACTCTCAAACGGGGATGGAGACTCATTTCTGGTAAATGAAGGAAGATGCTGCATTAAATAATTGATGAAGTCTCCATATGAAGTGTGTAAATAATTTTGTATGAATTAGTAGCTCACCCTTTTCGATAACCACAATGGAAAGCCTCAAAACTCTTGATTGTTTCGAATTTGAACTCATCCATTTCACAAGTGGAAACTCGATTTAGAGAAATGAACATATTTCCCCAATGTGTGGTGCTGTCAGCTTGTTTTCAGTTAAGCTAAATAAATGGTACTGGTGAAAAACACTTCATTAAGCATTCTGGTTAATGCAGAAACTGAAAAGTTCGGAGGAAATTAGGACTTTTTAAACGACAGAATTTAATTAGCGGTTGAGTAAGAGCCTGGGATTGTGGGGAAGTGAGCTCTGGAAGAAAAGCAAACACGATTTTTTTTTTCAAAACAATGTAAATGAGCTTTATTTAGTCTCTGAATCCACTCTTTTCTTTAGGACGGTGAAGCAGAACTTTCAGGTCATGGGATCTTAAAAAGATACTTCACCAAAAATTTAACATTCTGTCAACATTTACTCAACCTTCACAAAACTGTCTGAATTTCTTTACATGTTGTACACAAAAGAAGTTGATTTGAAAACTGTTTGAAAAAAAGTAACCATTGACTTCCATGGTGTTTGTTTTTCCTACTATGAAAGTCAAAGATTACAGGTTTCTAATATTCTTCGATATATCTTATTTTGTGTCCAACAGAACAAAGAAACTCATAAAGGTTTATAACCACTTGAAGGAGAGTACTAACTCTTAAAGTCTAGT